CCCCTCATCATCTCCGTAGCCCTTTGCTGGACCCTCTCCAGCAGTTCCCTGTCCTTCGTGAACCAGAGAGCCCCGAACTGGACACAGTGCTCCAGATGTGGCCTCCCCAGGGCAGAGCAGAGGGGGAGGATGACCTCCCTCCACCTGCTGGCCACACTCTTCTTGATGCCCCCCAGGATGCCATTGGCCTTCTTGGCTACCAGGGCACATTGCTGGCTCACGGGCATCCTGTTGTCCACCAGGACTCCCAGGTCCCTTTCCACAGAGCTGCTCTGTGGAGGTCAGCCCCCAATCTGTACTTAATAACATGGGAGGGTTATTAGTTAAGACCTGACAAGGAGTGTCTTTCAGAAGGGAAATGGGTGAAAAGGGGAGACAAGAGGATGGAAGCAGCACCAGTTGATAGGAGTACGGAGGAGGGATGGAGGAAAGGGCGTGGGGACGGCGTTGTGCCAACTCCTACACGCACACACACCCCGGGCTGGAGCAATGTGGTGGTGGGGCATCACGCACACACTCCTGCTCGCAAGAAGGGAGCCCGGGCATTGCCAGCCCTGCAGGAATTCACCTCCCCACTCTGCCGCCTCGCACGGGTGGCATTGCACAGCCCGAGGAGGACTCTAAGGCATTTATTCAATTGTTCACTTTTGATCCAAAGAGTGCCAGAAAATTGCAAGGAAAAGGTTAGCGGGGGAATGTTGTTAATTAGCAGCTGTGTTCCTACGTAGCTGGAAAAGGGAGGATTATGAATTTATGCTGCAGAATTCAACATTAGAAATAAAAAAAGGCACTGACACACTGCTACTCGTTCTCTAACATAATCACCACAACATAACCATCGGGGAACAAGCAATGAAATGGAAAGCAACATTTCAAATCAATAAAAAGAAATACTTCTGGAAACAGCTACAGCAAGTAGAATCCAAAATCTTAAAAACCTTCAAAACCTTAAGAAGCTCCCACATATTCTAATAAAAAAAGGTTTGCACAAAACACCTAACGATTTTTTAACACACTGCCATAGGGTATTGCAGAGATCAAAATAGGATTTGCTTATAGAGGTTGGCCACAGTGGTGGCTATTAAGAACATTGGTTAAGTATAACCCCTGGCTCCTAAATTCACCATTGCTGGAAGCAAGGAGAGCGTGGAAGGTGGAAGACTACTCTTAAGCTCTCCCCGCTTTTGCAACTTGTCCTTCAAAACCAGTTGCTGTCAGAAACAGAGTCTGGACTCCATGGACCATTGGCCCAACTCGCTGTGATGGTTTTTAAAACCAGTAAAAAGGTGTATCTGCAAATACATAAAATGAAGGAGAAACTAACTGTGTGAAAAAGTGATTTCATTTTGGTGTGTGTGATCCCTTCCTGCGATGCATCTCTCATGGCTGATGCCAAAGGAAGGATGCTGAATTAATTCCACCTGCTATGCCAGTTTTCCTCCAAATCCTTCAACATACAGGTGATGCGAACCGGCTGTCTGAAGGCCAGTATGCATTAAAATGGAGACTAGGCTGTCAGAACAGGGTTCTGTGAGTTTTTGGGGCTGGTGGTACACTCATAGGGAACACAGAATGAATGACACTCACTACCATTACAGACAGAGCTTTAACATTCGCTTCAACTAAAACTGAAGAGCATTTGCAACATTGCTGCAAGTTATTTTGTCCCTTTTTATAAGAAAAGCCATTTTCAACATCCTAAGATGATCTGTTGCTGTTCTTTTACTGTTTGTTTGGGGATCATATAAAGCACTTCTAGAACACAACTAGGTATCTTTATGGAGATTAGTTGAATGCTAAGGTAAAGGGGCAATGCAGATGTACACAACTCGTCCTCTCAGCAACAGCCGAGTATGACATGTTCACTTAAATTTTTCCTCTCTCAGAACAAGCTTTTATCTTTTGGACTTGTGCTCAGAATTTTGTTAATACCTGGAAATGACAAAGAGCTTATCCTTAACAGGCAACCAGCTTCTCTTCCTCATCTTAGAGGCTGATGCATAAGGTTGGAGAAATCAGAGGTTCAGTATGATTATATTTAATTTCTCTGTGCTTTTCTATAGGAAGCCATATGGGATAGATGCCAAATTGATCATGACTTTACTGGTTGTACATAAAATGCAAAACCA